ACGAAGTTACATCATCTTATACTCCAGTTACAAGTTATTATATGTGAGTTACATCTTGTTATACACGAGTTACATACTTTTATGCGCGAGTTACATGCAATTATGTGTGAGTTACATCTTGTTATGTGTGAGTTACATCTTGATATACACGACTGACATACTTTTATGCGCGAGTTACATGTAATTATGTGTGAGTTATCTCTAATTATTTGTGATTTTTTACTTATCTTTATCTTGAACTAATTCAATTATAATTGAATTAATTTTTTTCTTTGCCAATTTAATACAAAATTTTATTAATCCACATAAAATAAGTATATTGTATTTCATATTCATACACTATTTTTCAAATGATAAAAATGAAAGATATAGTAGGGGTTTATTTCGTGGTGTAACTCACATACATTAAGATGTAACTCGCGTATATTAAGATGTAACTCGCGTACAATAAGATGTAACTCGCGCAGAAGAAGATGTAACTTCATGATATATTATCAAATGTAACTTCAAAATAATTTGTTAAAATTACATAAGCAATATTGGTCTAATTTGATAGATCATGAAAAATAAAAAAATTTGATATGAAATTTATAAAAATCAGATATCAAATAAAAAAGTTATTACAATTTCTAACAATAAAAGAAATAAAAAATATGTATAAACTGCGTCGTTTTGCAACCGGACGCACCATCCTCATGGTGCGCCGGTTGCAGGGTATAAACTGCGTGTGATGTCCGCGGTGTCTATCTAGAGTAAGAAAAATAACTTATTTATAACGTGTACTTCATTGGTCCCTTAAAATTTTGGACGTTCCAAAAAACTTTGTCATTTTTCCTTTTAATAAATTATTTTGTGGTTTCTATTATTTCTCTCTCCTCTACACAAATCTTAACCACACAATTTTTACTTTATTATTCTTCATGTCGGTGAAACTTGAAAAAGTTCTAAGGGACGGAGATAGTATGTTTTATTAAGATGGTACGTAAGTAGAGTATACTTTTGTTAATTAAAAAAGACAACGGAGCTTAAATGTTGTAATAGTTAAAAATAAGGGTATAACTTTAAAATTTCCAAAATAGGACTATATGTCATCAATAATTAAAAAATAAAACTAACAACACAGTAATAGGACTACTTCCAAAGAGTAGAAATATAATCTTTATTATATTTTCGAAAAAATAGCACCTTTTTTTACATAAAATGGCATTTTAATGTCTTTTATCTATTTTATTTCTGGGAGGTGACAGAGGGTGTGGGAAAGGCTTCCATATTTTTTTCTATTTTTTAATGTCTTTTATCTATTTTTAATTATTTTTAATGTTTTTTTAATGTTTAGTATTTAATTGTTTTTAAAAAATATTTTTAATTTTTTTCAATATTCTTTTACGGTTTTATTATAAATTACTCGTACAATATATTTATTATTTTTATGTTTGTATTACAAATTAAAATATGATTTTCCCATTAAATTATGGCAATGATAGAATGCTAAGATAGAGTATACTGTAGTCCTATTTTGGGAATATATAAATGGGTGGTTTTTTAAAATACGGGACATGCCAAAATTCATTCATTCATAGGTACAATTAAGTAGCTGATTCAAAGAAAAAGTTTCCTGAGATGTGAGCAAATAATGCATAGTCATGTGATGATTTATTTTAATTTCAGTACTATTCATGATTTTACATGAAAAATACGAGTTAACACTTGTAATATATATTTTGTTGAAAGGTTCTTACTTTCCTTTTTTGGGTGTCTCATTTAAAGATTCTCATCCGTTTTAAGAAATAATTTACTCTCTTTAATTACACATTTACTCAAATTTTTCTTTCCTAATTATCACAACCCCCTACTTATATCTTCAATTCATTTAATTACTTTCACTTTATATGTTTACTTTTTTTAAATTTTCTCGTCCCTTTCTTTTTTACTAAAATTGCTTTATTTAATCATCTGCCTAAAAAAATGTCATTTACTCACGGGAACCTTCCAACGAGACAAAAGGAGTATATGTTAAATCTCTAAAATATCATAACTTTCCAATTATGTTCACACATATTAAACTCTGGGCAACCTAAGTATTCATGTACTCCATTTATAAATATATCTTCCACTATATATGACACTAAGCTACTTGCCATATAACAAATTTTGTACATATCTAGCATATTCTGAACATATAAAGTTATGGATAACATAAATATTCACAGAACTATTAATATCATCCACTACAAATGGCAGTATTACCATGTTTATACCATCCGTTGGTAGTTTTAGGTGTTGTCATTTGCCTACAAACTGTTTACAGCCCATCAAAACAAAAGGTTTTAAACCTTGTATACTGTCCAAAAATTATTGCACAAACCTGATATCATCCTAATTAAAATATAGTATTGTGACCTCACATAACAAAAGTAAGCACCTCCTTTTTTTCAAAACCTAGTCAATAAGTGTTCTAGGCAGTGGGCACCAAAACCCGACCCTCCATCAAGAAATTGTTCGTTTCTTCAATCACCCCTTCAGGAATCTCAACTTATGTAGGTAGTGAACCCAAACTGTCCAGCCTTTTTTTAGCATTGTGGGGTTCTTATAATTATTACCACCCCTTACCTTCAATATTTCGAACATGATGTATTGAAGGTGCAACCATGTGTAGTTTAACAACCTTGGTTCAAAAGAGTAAAATGCATCTTGAACATCAGCAACTAGTTCATCAACACACTTAGGAAAAGCTTTATATTGGATAGATTGTATAGCTCTAAAAAAGCCAAGATCCAATACATTCCAATTCGGACTTTGTGCGGGCTGGCATGTAAGTCGTATATTGAAGCCAAATAAAGTAGCATACTTCATGAATTGTCATTAGCACCAATGTATCGTCTAGCCTCCTGTTGAATCCAAATATCCTTGCATGCATTAGGTGGCCAATGTTCCTTTATAGTGGGCAAGACTGAATTTATTAATTTGGACCTAATAACTACTTGTGTCACACATTGTATGAATTTTGTTTCTGGGGTTCCTGCCTCCCTATTACACGACCTCCTTTGTGCATAGACAACTTCAGTAAATGGAAATATTCCAATTTTTTCGTCCCATGGAATTTCTCCAGAATCAGAAATATGTGGCCTAGCCACAACAACAAAAAATATAACCTTGCCAATAAAATTTTTATTTTGACAGCTTCTATAAGGTTCTTCCTCCCAAGGAAATAGATAAAACCTTTGAATTTTTTGTGACATGTAAAACCACTTCTCATCGATATGAATAACATTGTACATACTTGAAAATTTTGGTATTGTGTTCACTGCCCTTGGAATTACTTAACTCATAATGTGAATAAGCCTCCTTCTCATTTTGTGTGATTAAGTTTTGGTTTAATACTATTTGTGTGGGCTCTAAGCTGCCCGCTTTTCAGTAAGTGATACACTGTCGAATGGCTTATTCCAAGCGCGGTAGACAAAGATCGAGTCGTTGTCCTTAGTTGAACAGGTACACCTTTAAGACTGTCCAAATAAAAAACTCCAGGTTTTCTACCCACTTTTCCCCTTTTTTTACTTTGGACATCCAACATTGTCTCCCTAGATACTTGAACTTTAGCCGCAAACCATATTCTCCAAAATGCGGTCCTATGAACTTTGAATTTTGCAGCAACTGCTGACACAACACCTTTGGGTAAGGTATTACCATCACCCAACATTAAAAGTTTTCTACCAAATGATTTCTTTGATCATTTGTGAGTTCTACTTTTTTACTTCCTATGATTGTGTGAGATAGAATAAATTTTCTAATTTTTGTGAATTAACTCCTACCTCACTGTCACTTTCTGAAAAGGAGGAGAATAATTCAAATCCTGGCTCAACATTGAAGTCCTCAAGCATGGCATCTTCCTCCAACCGAAGAAGTTCTGAAATTGATATATCTCCATTCATAGCTACTGCAATGATATTTGTTTTTGTCTTTGTAGCAGTATATTGTTGTGTAAAACGTGGCTTCTACTTATAGGAGTAGTAGTTTTTTGGTGGGTAAAAAAAGTAAGGATGAAAATTTGAATTTTTTGTTTCGAATGGAGATGGCGGATGGGTATATGATATTGTAGAAAAGTACGAAGTCGCTCTTTGTATGAATTGATAGTCATTTGCCTTATCAAGTACCATAGCTAGAAAGTAGCGGATGGGCACTTTTTGTAAAGTTATGTACCTTTGTATTATTATTACTTATCCATCCAATCACAAGGGTAAAGCTATAAAGTCACCCTTTAAAGACAAATGTCTTAATTAATGTGCCAACTCCCTATGTTGCAACTGTATCCGAACGGAGGAAGTATATAATATGTATGAATGAACAAGTGTTAAATGTTAGAACTAGTTTGAAACGGTAAATGTGTTGTTGTCCCAACAGGATATTTCTTAAACAATTAAACACTATATTAAGATATGAGGTCCTTCTCCTATCAGGTTGACCTTTTAGGATGGAACTCCGGGTCTTAACATGAAATTAGAGCCAATTTGAGTATTTGATCCATGGTGTGGGCCCCCTATGAACAATGATGACACACTTGAAAAAATGACAATGACGAACCGATGAAAAAATGAATGATGACACAATCCAGATGAAGTGTCTAGTCGTGAGAAAGGATCTTGTGTCCCACACCGGATATCTTTTAAACAATTAAACATTATGTTAAGATTTGAGTTCATCCTCAAATCAGATTGACAAAGTAAGTTTGGAACCCCGGATCTTAATAAAATATGAAGTCATGCTCAAAAATTGAAACTTGACATTTATCATTGTGGATGCCCTAAAAATAGTTGGCATAATAATGATTACGTATGAGAAAAAATAGATACGAGAGTACTAAATAAAAGAAGAAGAGGTGGGAAGTATAAAAAAAAGTTTTCAGATTTGGAAAGTGAGAGAATTGAATGGGACAAATAAAAAAAGCATTCCAAAAAATAAAAAATGAATATGCATAGCATGTTTGAGAAGGAGTTTTAATTATTTACCGTGGCATTGAGGTATCGAAATGAGGCAATCTGACATGGTGAGCAATAGAGAGTGGGTGAGGAGAGGAGTTTTAGATCCTATTAGCTTACAGACACAGTGATGATCCTCAATGATTGCTTGGTTCAGAATTTCACAGCATGACCAAATGGATTTGGCTGACAATTGAGCTACGCATGGCTGGAAGTCTATGTCTTCAAAAGGGCACTCCCAGTTTTCGTCCAGGGAAGAAGAAGCACAAGCTACCACCATTAGAGAGGTCAAGATCCAACCATTCATCCTTAATGTTAAATTACTTCTCATTCCTTTTTTCAAGAACGCAAACGACCTAGCTAATTAAGTATATATATATATATATATATATATATATATATATATATATATATATATATATATATATATATATATATATATATATATATATATATATATATATATATATATATATATATATATATATATATATATGATCACAAATACGCTAGCATGTTGTTGTCACGTCAGAGTTATGCATGTTGACCACACTTTATGGATGATCGATCATCCTCAACGTAACCAATTCATCAATTTGGTCATCACATACGGTGTGTACCTGCTCCTGCCTATCACATGTATCCCATCTGTGAGAATAATGGGAAAGGTTACTCCCTGAGGAGTCCTGACAGATATATTTATATTAAATAGAGTTTAATGTAAAGTACAATACTAAGCCTCTAATAATTCTATTACACCCCCTCAAACTGTGCAGGAGATACAACGCGCAGGTTGTCTCTCAAAAAATGAAAACGTTGACTGGAGAGACTTTTAGTAAAAATATCTGCCAGCTGTAAATTAGTAGGAACATGTTGAACAATCAGATCTCCATGAGCAACCCGTTCGCGAACAAAATGATAATCAATCTGAATATGTTTACTACGAGCATGCTGAACTGGATTTGCAGTCAAGTAAGAAGCAGATATATTATCACATAATAAATGTACCGGCTCTGAGATAGGCCATCGAAGTTCGAACAGTACGGAGCGGATAAGTAGTGTGTCTTGTACTGTGTAAGCAATGGCACGATATTCCGCTTCTGTGGAGGACTTGGACACAGTGGGCTGCTTCTTAGCCTTCCAGGAAACCAAATTAGGACCCAAAAATACAGCAAAACCTGTGGTGGACCGAGAACTATCAGGACAACCTGCCCAATCTGCATCGGAGTAAGCAACTACACAGGTTGGCCGATTAGACTGCTGAAGCCAAAGTCCATGATCTCGTGTTCCCTGCAAGTACCTGAAAATTCTCTTGACTGCAAAAAGATGAGTGGTACGAGAAGCATGCATGAACTGAGACACTAAGTGTACTGCATAAGTAATATCTGGTCGTGTCAAAGTTAAATATTGTAATGCACCAACCATGCTGCGATACTCAGTAGAATCAGACAATAACTCACCATCAGAAAGAGACAGAGTGGTACGGGAAGCTAACGGGGTGCGAACACGTTTGACAGTATGAAGGTGAAAACGAGCTAGAAGGTCAGTAACATATTTATGTTGAGATAGAAACATACCTTTAGCTGAACGAATGGCCTCAACACCCAGAAAATAATGGAGATTACCCAAGTCTTTCATAGCAAAATGTTTAGAGATAATTGGAATAAATTGGGTAACAGATGATTCAGAATTGCCAGTAATAATAATATCATCCACATATAGTAATAAATAAATAATAGTATTATTCTGGCGGTATGTGAACAAAGAATTGTCAGATTTGCTACAGGAAAAATTATGTTGTAGAAGAAAGCTACTAAATCTATGAAACCATGCCCGTGGAGCTTGCTTAAGGCCATAAATGGCCTTGCGCAGACGACATATATGATTAGGAAAGTGAGGGTGAATAAAACTACGGGGCTGCCGCATATAAACTTCTTCAGTCAGATTACCATGTAAGAAGGCATTTTTAACATCAAGTTGTCGTATACCCCACCCAAAAGAAATAGCTAGAGTAAGTACAATACGAACAGTGGTGGGTTTTACGACAGGACTAAAAGTTTCAGAGAAATCAATACCTGCCTGCTGATTAAAACCCTGTGCAACTAATCGAGCTTTATGGCGCTCTAAGGATCCATCAGAATGATATTTAGTTTTATAGATCCACTTACATCCAACAATATTTTTAGAGTTATCAAAGGGCACCAAGTCCCACGTATTATTATTAATGAGTGCATTAAATTCATCAGCCATCGCCTCACGCCATTTTAATTGTTTATTTGCCTCAGTAAAACAGGTAGGATCTGCAGCGATAGTAACTGTACTTAAATTAAAAATGGTTTTAGGCTTAAAAATTCCTGACTTAGCACGGGTTTGCATGGGATGGTGATTAACTACCGTAGTGGACGTAGGTAAGGTGGTTTCAGGTGAGACAGTGTCGGTTGAGGTTGTCTGTGGCGTGCTAGACGAAGTATGGGAGGAGACATGTGATGGTGGGGGGGCTGGTTGTGGACGTTGGGAAGGAGGGAGTTGGCGATGGGACACACGGAGTGATAGGAATACTTGGTGACCGAGGTGGCGATGGGGAGGGTGGTGGTGGTGCGGCCGTAATTGTGGGAACAGACTGGACAGGTGGGTCAAGAGTGATATCGGTGAGATGCATAGGAGATGGAGTATTAGAAATAGAATTGGATGGAGCAGACGAGAGAGTTTTAAAAGGATATGTGTCCTCATGAAACCTAACACGACGGCTAACATAGACTCTACCAGTGAAAGGATCCAAACAACGATAGCCTTTATAACCAGATGCATAGCCAAGGAAAACACACTGAACTGAACGAGGTGATAATTTATTGGCTGAGGTGGCATTAAAATTTGGATAACAAGCAGAACCAAATACTCACATAAAGGAGTAATCTGGAACACGGTTAAAAAGTTTTTGGTACGGAGTAAGACCATTTAATGTAGGAGAGGGTAATCTATTAATAATATATGCAGCAGTGAATATGGCATCGACCCAATAGTGACTCGGAACCGAAGCTTCAAGAAGCATGGTCCTAGTTAACTCAAGTAAATGACGATGCTTGCGCTCAGCAACCCCATTCTGTTGAGGTGTGTCAGGACAAGATTTTCTAAAATAAATGTCATTAGCAGAAAAAAATTGCTGCATATTATTATTAACAAATTCACCTCCCCCATCACTTTGAAAAATTTTAATTTTCTGATTAAAAAGGTTTTCAACCAAAGCTTTAAAATTTTTAAAGTGCGTGAAAACTTCATTTTTGTGACACATGGGATATATCCAAGTATAACGAGAAAAATCATCAATGAAACATACATAATACTTGAATCCCAAATTTGAATACACAGGTGACTGCCACACATCAGAATGAATAATTTCCAAAGGAAAAACAGAATTATGACTAGCATCCATAAAAGGCAAACGTTGTGATTTTCCTAAACGACAAGTCACACACTCATGAGTAAATGGAGTATGACTACATAAAAATTGTTTTCTCTTAAGAAACTGTAAAGTACTATCATCACAGTGACCTAATCTACGGTGCCACACAGGGCCAGAAGCTAAAACGGAAGCAAAAACTAATGGTGATGATGACGGCAGATGGAGAGGATAAAGTGGCCCACTACTAGTAGCTCGCAGAAGTATTGCCCCTGTTGCTTTGTCCTTAATCAAAAAAAAAATTTTATCAAAAATTACAGTACAATTATTATCAGCACAGAGCCTTTTAATGGAAATTAAATTATATTTTAACTAAGGCACATGATAAAAAGATTTTAAAGTGAGAGGACGACCAGATGTAGGTAAAGCAACATCACCAACATTACATATGGGAAGATGGGCACCATTGGCAACACTAACAAAATTATAGCCGGTGTAGGGAGATTTATTTACTAAAATACCTTCAGATGCAGTCATATGAGCAGAAGCTCCTGAATCAGGAAACCATAGAGCAGGAGTAGTGTCACCGGGAGTAGTCAACAGAGCAGGAGACGTCGGTTGTGTGAAACGAGAAGGACAGTTAATGGCAGAATGACCTGCAGAAAAACAAATTTGACAGACAACAGGATGGGGAACAGATCCGAGAATACCCCCGTCTGATGGCAAGCCTGTATGACTACGGTTAGTAACACAGATAGGTAAAGCATTAATATTTAAACGTGACACAGTAGAATTACAAATAACAGTACCCGTAGATGTCACACCCCCTGCAGGTGTACTCGACTGCCCACCCCCTCCGGGGTAATAAACTGGATGCCCCTGGGGGAACCAATATGCCTGCTGCTGCTGTCCTCGGCCATGCCCCCTACCTCCGCGGCCTCTGCCGCGACCACGTCCTCGCCCGCGCTGTGGAGCGTGACGAGCACTTTGTCACGGTGCGTCAAAATAATTTTCAATACTAAACACTTATACGTAGTATAGCGTAGTAGAGTTCGTATCCACAGGGAAAGGAATGATTTTCTTTCTATGAAACTAGTAATTAAAAGGGGGGTTTTGGTTTGAGTGATTTAATTCAATTAAGAACTAAGATGAACAACCTATATGTGTTTAATTCAAAGATAAAAGGACTTGGCATTGCTACTTTCCACTTGTTGATATATTTTAGTCGATCATTGTTATATCTATAACTTATTCCCCTCTCGAATACTCAATCGGGGAGTATATCCACTTCATCGAGGGTAGTTATTAACAACGACCGTTCATTAATAACCCTTACTATTAATCAAATATAGAACAACGCCTTATACCGATTTAATAGTAGCATTTAATCTTTCTAACTCCTTGATGAAATCAATTGAGATTAATAACCTCAACACAAGCGGTTTCGGTTTAACCAACAAAATTAATCCCTCTTAAGTTTATTAACCACGACCGTGCATTAATAAACCGAAGCTACTTACTTGTGAAACCATCAACGATTAACCATCGGTTCGTTGATCGTTTCTAGTAATAATTAATATATGAAACAAAACTAGTTGATCCTTTAAATAATGTTCAAAATATTAATATGAAATAAGAGTAGGGATTAATTAATATTCAAGGAAGAATATTATTAATGAAGATGAATCCTACTATAATTAATATCAAGATGTTAACTAATTGTCATCTTAGCAACACTCCTCAATATTAATATAGAGGAAGAAAATACCATTTTAACTAATGTCGAGATGTTAACTAATTGTCATCTTAGCAACACTCCCCAACATTAATATAGAGATGATATTAAGGAAAGAACTATTAATTAATATTCAAGGAAAGAAGTTAAGAAAATAACTCACAACTTTAATAATCAACAAGCTTCAAGAGTAACACCAAGAATGGAAGTTTAGCTCCTCATTTGGAGAC